GTGTGAGAATTTTTGCCTAAAGTGCTCAGCAATGTCTTGTAGGGTAAGTATAACTATGTAGGTTGCGTAAATACTTACGCATGCAATTGTGTGAGATTCTTATTATTGTTCTAACTCTAATGTAAGTTTAATTGTATGCCAATATTTGCATACATTCAGGTGCATATGCTTAGAATTAAAATGCAAATATAGCTAAGCATACAAAGCTACATAAATAGCTATTATAGTATATGCACATACACATGTAAGTATTTACATGTGCATACTGCTTGGCTGACTCGTCAAATATCTGCATGCTTTGTAGAAGGTGCCTGTTGCTTGAACATTACAAAACTCACCTCTGCTACGAACACAAATCGGTCAACTTGGCTATTGAATTCTATTTCTTCAAACTTACACACATACATATGTATGTATGCATGCACAAAGACATATTTATGCGGCTATCTTTACGACATCAACTTGCCAATTGGTTTTATACTATATCTCAGTCTTCGTGTCCGAGTCAGCAAATCTTGTTCATGTCGCTGTCATTTCTATATTGCTAATGGTGATTGCATTTGCCATTATCATTGCTCGTGCTGACTATATCCATAGAAAGTGTATGGGTGTCATTTTAAATGCCGAATGGAAAGAAAATAAAAGGCGGTGAAAAAAGCAGATTTTCAACAAGCAGTGACAATTATCTCTTGGTGTCCATTTTCATTGGAATAATCTGCGGCTTAAAAGTTGGCTACTGTGTGATTTACTATATGGCTTTCATTGGCACAATCATTGGGAGTTCAATTTCAGCCACAAGATCTTATTGTCAGTGCAGAATCAGAGCACATCAAAGCATATCTAAGAGCATAGGGAATTTAGCCATTGACATTGCCAAGCTGGGTATAGAGGTTTGCTTGTGGAATTTAGAGGCAAGGATGTGCCGGCTTGAACTTTATACAAATTTGCAAATGAGATACAAACACATACATACATATATACATATGTTTACAATATTGTAAATACAAATATGTATACATTTATAAAGATTAGGGGGCGCATTACGCTCCATAAAAAAATCTGTACTCTACCATCGGAAATATAAAATTTATTGTGTTTTAAAACTTTCGCAAAAATATTTCTGAAAAATACGATTTTGGTGTGATGAAAATGCCTCAAATAATAAAGTTTTTTATAACCCAAATTAGTTAAAAAAAGTTTTTTTTTCTAAATTACCTCTCGAATCATAGAAGAGTTGAAGCGTAAGTGGCCTGCAAACAAAATGTTTAAAAATTGTATCAACGGAATCAAAATAATGACATTTTCGGATTGTATAGCTCACGCAAATCTTAATATTTTTCCCAAAATATGTATGCATATGTATATCGTATACATACGTAATTAGGCTTGAAATATAGAAATGAAAAAAATAGAAATGGGTATCAATGAAAATGGTTTTGAAAATATTTCTTTCTTAATTTAACATTAGGAGGGTTGCCACCTGTTTAAAAAATCAAATTAAATTTGAATTAAGGAACGTAAATAGGGGAAAATATATGGATGCCAAACGAAAGGGGGCTCAGAAAGTAGCAGGTTGAAAATATTTTGAAGTGGGTTGCCAGCTGCTTGAAATATAAAATTTAGTTAACTTATACACAAGTTATAAGAAATGTCAAAATATGGATGTCAGACGAAAGTGTGTTAAGAAGGCTTTAGATTAAACATTAAGAATATTTTTGAGGTGTTGGAAGAGGATTGCCACATGTCTAAAAATTTATTTGAAATTATCAAATAAGTTAAATGAATTATTAAAATATGGGTATTAATCGAATGGGTTTGAAAAATCTTTACTTCTAAACTATATTGAGCGGGGTTGCCACATGTTCAAAAAATAAAATTCAACTTAATTTATCAGTTAATAAAAATATGTAGCGCAGTGTTACACGAAGAATATTTAAGAATAGCTTCACTTTTACGCAAGTTATTTGAAATATGAAGCGAAAGAGTGTTAAAAACAACTTGAGTTTGAACATTTAGAAAAGGGTTGCCACGTGCTTGTAAAGTGACATTCAAATTATTTTAGAAGTTGGATGAATTATTAAAAGATGGGTATCATCGAAATGATTTTGAAAAGGCTTTATTTCTGAAATATATTTAGGAGGGTTACCGCCTGTTTAAAAAAATTCAACTCGACATAAATTAGGGCAATTACCTAATTCAAATATGTGTTTTAAAATTTGTAGAGAAAACTTTAGCTTGAACACTATAAATATTTTTTGGGTGTTTTGAGAGGGTTGCCACCTGTTCAAGTATTA